CTCAGGCCAACGCAAGAACACACCTGTGGACCCATACTTACCTGCAAAGTTCTGATCATGAGCAGCTCTGCATTTGTACCTAGAGGCACGCTTCCTGTTGCACAAACAACATTCACACATCAACCCATATACTAAACAGTCAATCCTTGCCTCAGCCACCAACCCCGATCCCACGCTCGACACCCTAAACTCCTCCACCCTCAACCCCTAAAGCCCTGAACCCTAGGCCTAAACCCTAAACCCTAGACCCTAAACCCTAAACCCAAAGTTGAACAAGAGCCCAAAGTCGAAATCCCTAAGCCCTTCTTCGTCAGAGATCCACAAAAACCAAACCCTAAACCCGAAAATCCAAACTTGTCGTTGACCCCTAAGCCCCTGTGTACCACCTAAACCCTAAACCCTGAACCCTAACCCTAAACCCTAAGCCCTAAGCCCTAAGCTCTAAGCTGTAAACCCTAAACCCAAGCCCCAAGCCCCAAGCCCCAAGCCCTAAGCCTAAGCCCTAAGCCCCAAGCCAAGCGCCCCACGAAACCCTTCCGAAAGTTCCAAGCCTGGTTGGACAGCCGCCTTTGCCTCCGCCGAAGCCTCGGCCGGATTTGCCCCGACCTGGTTCAGGGACTTAAGCGTTCAGGGTTTAGGGATTAGGGTTTAGGGTTTACGGTTCAGGGTTTAGGGCTTCGAATTTAGGGTTTAGGGTTTAGGAGCTTCAGCTCCGGGATTTAAAGTGGTCAAGGGTAGGGCTTTGGGGCTGTTAAGGGCGTTGGGTTCAGGGCTCAGGGTTTAGGGCTTTAGGGCGGCTGAGAGTTCTTCATCTTCTGTGTAGGGCTTTAGGACTATAGGGTTTAGGGCTAACTTTATCCAAGTTCCTGAACTACAGCCCAGCATTCGAGTATTTGGTACAACCTTGAGTTTTCCCAAGGGGCCAGGAAGACAGCCTTCAACCCCTAGCTAAACCCCAAAAACTCAACCCTAAACTCTAGGCCCGGAATTTTGGGTCCTTACATACTTGCCATGTATACCTCGGCTACGAGACCTTTACAAATAAGGGGTTCCTGTATTCTTCCCCCCTAAAAAAAACAACAATGCCTTCAACCCTAAACCCTGAACCCTAAACCCTCAAGCCTAAACTCTATACAGACAAGGACCTGCCTGCTTTTGGAGCATGCGCAGCGACATGGCGGCAAGTTGCTCTTTGCACCAATGCTGAAGTGGGGAGCGGGTGTTATCACTCTATCACAAAGCTGAGTTTTCGGGGGGTTGACGCTCTGAACTACAAGGACAACACTCTACAGCAAACGCGCAAGGGGCCAAGGATTTGGAGCAACCCAAAGATGTCGAAGCTCGTGCTCAGATCTCCCTACAATCAAGTATGTGCCTGGCGTTGTTCTTGTCTCCTCTTGGTGTCGAGGAAAGCAAGACTCACTTGATTTTCATAAAGCTGCCAAGCAATGGCATGTCCTTCAGCGTGCAACCCACCATAAGAACGTGAAGTTCCGTGCAACTCTATGCTACCGAGGTCTGCTCACCTCGGCTGTCTCCATCCCCAAGCCCAACGCCCTAAGCCCTAAACCCTAAGCCCTAAGCCCTAAACCCTAAGCCCTAAACCCTAAACCCTAAGCCCTAAACCCTAACCCCTAAACCCTAGCCCTAAACCCTAAACCCCGAACCCTCGCTGACCTCAAGCACCTTGGGCTCCCAACCGAGTTGCTCTCGGCCGCGCAGGGTCAGCAAGGTTTTCAGCTGCAGGGCTTCGGGCTTCTCTGTTGGGATGATCCCCTACTATCTTACAGTCCTCACTAGGGAGATTCTAGGGTTTAGGGTTTAGGGTTTAGGGGTTTAGGGTTTAGGGTTTAGGGCTATAATCCCTATGAAGGACGTTTAGTATAAAGGGGAGCATCCCAAGGCTTATAACCCTAGGCCGGAAACTCTAAATCCTCAACCCTAAAACCCAGGTCCCGTAATTCAAACGGTCCCTTACCTTCTTCAAGGGGCTCCGAAGTAAGGATGGGTCCCTTAATGTGGCCCCTTAGCTTCTTTGGTGAATGTCCAAACACCCCAACTCCCCAAGAACGCTGAGTCACACCACAACGCGGGTCTTGCTGAACGAGGCGAAAACTAGGGGCGGAGTCCCTAAACCCTGAACCCTAAACCCTGGACCCTAATTAAACCCGAAACCCTAAACCCTAAACCCCTAAACCCTCAACCCCAAACCCCCTAAACCCTAAACCCTAAACCCTAAACCCTAAACCCTAAACCCTAAACCCTAAACCCTAAACCCTGAACCCTGAGGTGCCTTCAACCTCGTCCTTCTGACATCCTGATGCTCGCACGACTTTTTCTGCGCCCGGCTTGTCTTCCAGGCTTCCGATTGAGCAAGAAAGCTATACTTCCAAGTGCACGTTTCAAAACCCAAGGAGCTGGCTAAGTGGGGGTACTTGGGGGGATGCAAAGCTTGGTGCTGGGGGATGCGGGATTTCGGTCAGATCTGGGCCGAGGTTCGTCGCAAGCTCTGAGCAGCTTCGACGTCGTAGTCGGTGCGCTTGCCCAAGGTTTCACTTCACAGTAGTACGCCGGACAAAATGATTCTACACAGTGAGCCAGATAGCTCAGCTGCAAATCACACTCTGTGATACTTTCACTTCTCATTCCGCCGCCTGGCGGGTCGAGTAGGGTTTAGGGTATAGAGTGCAGGGTGTGCGGTTTGGGGTGCAATGCAGACTCGGAACCCCTGCGGCTGGCGTTAAACCAGTCTCACGACGCGCAGCAGAGCCCTAAGCCCTGTACTCTAGGGGCGCATTCCTCTTGGAAAGCGCATTTTGAGTAGTTAGTCTGTATACACTCAACCCTAAACCCTAAATCCTAAACCCTTAGCCCTAAACCCCTAAATCCCTAAATCCTCAACTCCCTTATCAGGGGCCTTCTCCTGCCCCGAACCGCCGAAAGCAGCACTCAGTAACCTCTCAACCTGGAGACTCCTTTCTAGGCCTTGTGAAAGGGTTTATGGGCCTTCATAGCACTTTACAGGGTTTGTGGGCTATGGGGTTTTTTGGGTTTAGGTCTTAGGGTTCTAAGGTTTCGGGTTGTATATAGGGTTGAAGAGTTTGGGGCTTGAAGGCTTTACTGGCTGTAGGGCCTGGTAAACGTTTAGAACTTAGGACTTTAAAGCTTCACGTAGCGGTATATAGGGCTGAGGGCTTAGACCCCGACCCCAAAACCTTACATGGAACGTGTATGTACATATATGTATATGTATATATACATGTACACACTTGAGCTTCCTTTTTTTCATTGTGTGGGGTGTTTTAATGGCATGGTTATCCTACGTGGGCCTACGCGGCAAGCATAGACAACCTGCACGGACCTATGCGCCCATACTGCACAGACTTGCCTACACGGACCCTACGCAGACCTATGCCCTGCAGGCAAAATGCTACGTGACCGACTTTCAATGATCGCGTCTCTATGTAGCCTTGCTCCTAGAAAAAGAACGCTGCTCACTTGTATTTATGTGCAGACATGCATGCATGCATGCATCACACACACCCCGAACCCTAATCAAACCCCAAACCCCTGAACCTGGACCTATCAGCTGCAACCCTAAACTCTAAACCCCAAACCCTAAACCCTAAACCCCAAACCCTAAACCCTAAACCCGAACGCTAAACCCTAACCCTAAACCCTAAACCCTAGACCCTAAACCCTAAACCCTAAACCCCTTACTAAACCCTAAACCCTAAACCCTAAACCCTAAACCCTAAACCCTAAACCCTAAACCCTAAACCCTAAACCCTAAACCCTAGACCCTAAACCCTAAACCCTAAACCCTAAACCCTAAACCCTAAACCCTAACCCTAAACCCTAAACATGGAGCCGCGGTCCAAGCCTTGATGACCTGGTTCACCAGCGCCGCTCCGAGCTGCGCCTTCGTTCTGTCCCACTCCGTGTCCTGCTGTCAAGGGCTAGGGTTTAGGGTTTAGGGTTTGGGGTTCAGGGTTCAGGGTTCAGGGTTTAGGGTTTAGGGTTTAGGGTTTAGGGTTTAGGGTTCAGGGTTTAGGGTTTAGGGTTTAGGGTTTGGGGTTTAGGGTTTAGGGGTTTTGGGTTTAGGGTTTTCGTGGGGCTTTCAGGGGCTTCTGGGTTTCCGTGAGCTGTTACGGGGGATTAGGGTTTAGGGTTTAGGGTTTAGGGGGTTTACGATAATACGGGGCCCCTAATGTACACCCCCCAATAGTAGGATCTCCTGATAAGAAGGACCCCAAGATGATACCCCGAAAATCGTAAACCCCCGTATTGGGCTAAACCCTAAACCCTAAACCCTAAACCCTAAACCCTAAACCCTAAACCCTAAACCCTAAACCCTAAGGCATGCCAATGGGGTCCAAGGATTTAGGGTTTAGGGTTTAGGGTTTAGGGTTCGTTCAGGCGAGGTCTATCAACCCCACATCCTGAACCGTGGTTTAGGGTTTTGGGTTTTGGGTTTAGGGTTAAGGGTTTCGGGTTTAGGGTTCGGTAACTCTGCTCTTTGAAACGGCTTGTGGGTTTTGGGGGTTGAAGGTCAAGAAAGCTTTAGCCTTAAAATCAGGAAAGCCCAAACATTAATCCATGAACTCAACCCTAAACCCAAAACCCCTAAACCCTAAACCCTGAACCCTAAACCCAAGTGTAGCCTTGCGTCCCGAACTCCCATGCATTGGGCACGAGAAAAGGCATTGAAGCACTGCTTGCCACACACTTGCTTGTTTTGGGTGGGTCAGTGGTTGGGAGGCGGGGTCATACTTACCGTTGAAACGAGAGCCTTTGTCCCCACGCACGCCAGCACACCAATGACTGGAAGGCGGCGCATGGGCATGTAAAGGCAGGGTGTGTGGGACATTTGCACACTACCAGCCTATTAAAAGTGTCGTTCGCCGTAAAGATTTAGATTAAGAACCTTTCTTGAGTCCACGTGACCTTTAGGACAGAACTATGCAGCAACCCCAACCCCGCGATCCCACAATCGAGTCTCAACTGCTCTTGATGTCCTTCGGGGCGGCCATGAGTTCGGAGAGGACTTGCGCTGCCTTGTCCTGAATATGGGCAATTCTCTGTCTGTTAAGGTCCCTTTTTGAGGGTTCAGGGTGTTCGGGTCGGGGCCCTAGACCCTGAACCCTGAACCATACCTAGCTGTTAACATATCTGGAAAAACCACTTTTGGCCCTTTTGATTAAGGGCTACCCGACAGCTGTATTCACCGTAAGGGTCTTGAGTTTTGGGGGGAGACTAAACCCTAAACCCTAAACCCTAAACCCTAAACCCTAAACCCTAAACCCTAAACCCTAGTAAGGGATCTTGAGGTTTGGGGGGGGAGAGGGCTCCTTGTCCAGGGCCGAGGTAGGCACGATCTCCACTCCTGCGACCTGTCAGCCGAACATCTGTGAGGGGCCCGAAAACCCCAACCCTAAACCCTAAACCCTAAACCCTAAACCCTAAACCCTAAACCCTAAACCCTAAACCCTAAACCCTAAACCCTAAACCCTAAACCGTAAACCCTACCCTAAACCCGAAACCCATCAGGGTTTTTTGGGGTTCCTAGGTGGCCCAAAACGGCCACATGAGTCCTCTTCGGGTAGAATGAGGTTTCCTTGCTTGGCTTTATGTGTGCCCTCGCGGTTTAGGGTTTGGGGTTTCGGGCTTGGGGGTCGGTTTTCTAGGGATCATTGGGTTCCCCTACTACCACCTAGGGTAGTATGGAGGGGGTAGTAGGGAAACCCATGATAGGAAACCTTGAGCTCCCTGAGCCTTCCTGAATGAAGGGATGCCAAGGTCTCTGGGTACCCTACACCCTAAACCCTAAACCCTAAACCCTAAACCCTAAACCCTGCACCCTTAAGCCCACTGACAGGTTCCTTGATGAATGAGGGCTTTAGGACTTTGGGGAGTTGAGATTTTAGGGTTGGGATGTTCCCCCTTATACTATCAGTCCTTAATAGGGATTATAATGGGGATTATCATAGGGGGTACTATAGTCTCTATGAAGGGCTGTTAGTAGAAGGGGGAACATCCCAAGTTTAGGGTTTAGGACTTGCAAATTCTCCACCCTGCTTGTACGTCAGTACGCTGGACGAGACAAATAGCCATCCCGAACACAAAAACCCGGATACTAAACAAAGGGGAATAGTATTCTCCCAACTACTACACAAACGGCAAAAAAAGTCCCGACTACACAACGGGGAAATATTTTCCGACTACTAAACACAGGGAAAACGTTTTGCCCTTTGTCAAGTAGTCGACTTGTTCCTTAAATTGTGCCAGACATCCCCGAACGACTTGAGGACAAGGCAAAATAAGGTTTTTGGAGTCTCCGGTGCATGCACCTCAGCCCTAAAGCCCTATGCCCTAAACCCAGAACCCATGGCCCGTAAGCCCTACCGTTCGATGCCTCGGCAGTGCAGCAACCCGAGGCATCGGTCGGCTGGTTGAAGAACAAGAAGCCGTCTGAGATGAAGTAGTCCTGCGGATTCAGAGCTTAGGGTTTATTGGGCTTGGGGTTTAGTGCTTAGGGTTTAGGGCTTAGGGTTTAGTGCTTACAGCAAGTTTAAGTCGGCAAGGCCGATAACCAAACGACGAACTCGCTGGTGAACAAAAACGGTCCGGGACCAAGTGCAAAAAGGCGGTGTAAGCCTTGAATTTGGGGTTGAGGGCTTAGGGTCAGAACGTCGGCATGAAGCGATGTAAGAACAACATGAATCAACCCAGCAGACCCTCTACACGGTGGGGTTGACTCCTGGCCCTAATCTTTATGAACAAGGTCCCCTAACCCTAACCCTAACCCTAAACCCTAAACCCTAAACCCGTGCTAAACCTTAAGCCCTGAACCCTATAAACCCGGGCCCTTCCCGCGCAACCTTCGTCTCGGAGCCATCCCTCACGTTGATCACGCCCGCTTTAAGCTGGGACACGATCAGGGAGTGGTTGTTGGTGACGGTGAACACGCCCTGAGACAACAGTCCAACCCCCCAACATGGCCCTAAAAGTCCTTTGCGGCACGGGTTATGGAATCAGGTACCATACAAACCCATTCTAAATAGGGTCTTTTGGGCACGTAAAGTCCTGCAAATGGACCCGATCGGTACAAAGGACACGGCGCGAACCCTCGTCTCGAGTCTTCCAGGCCCCCTTTTTGTTAAAAAGCACACTGCTTCTTTGTTCAAAGGGTTTGTGATGGAACGTGGGGTGCCACTGGGACGGCTTGAAACGTCTTCCCAGATGCGAGATGACAGCCAGGCCCTCAGGAAGTTCGGACGTGGCCGCAAACCCTAAACCGGGTTTAGGGTTTAGGGTTCAGGGTTCAGGGTTTAGGGCCGACATAGCCCGTCAATCCTGAACGCCTAAACCCCCAAAACCCCACAAAATGCCTAGAGCAGTGGTGGCTTCGAACTCCAGGAGGGGAGCATGCACGAAACCCTGGATCACCCTAAACCCTAAACCCTAAACCCTAAAGACTCTTTGAACCGCATGTACGAGCCTGGGTTTCGGGTGTAAGGATAAACATGATCAACCCTCAGCCTTAAATGGCCCTAAGCTCCTTAAAGCTCTGAACCTAGCGACACCCTAAACCCTAAACCCTGAACCCTGAACCCGAAACCCCAAACCCTAAACCCTAAACCGTAAACCGTAAACCCTAAACCCTAAACCGGGGCCATACGGCTTTGGCGGCTTTGGGAGTAACGGCCTCCGTCCCCGGCACCGTGACGCTATCGACAGGCTTCTTAATGAAGATGGCCTGCTGTAAGATGCGGGGTTTAGGGTTTAGGGTTTAGGGTTTAGGGTTTAGGGTTTAGGGTTTGGGAATTTAGGGTTTAATTAGGGTTTGGGGTTTAGTAGGGTGCCCTGCTGGAAGATGCCACCTGAACAACTGCACGAACCATCAACAGCCACAGAGTGAAGCCCCAAAAGAAAAGTCGAGACATGCCGAAGGGCTCCGTTCAATGAGGGTTTAGGGTTTAGGGTTTAGGGTTTAGGGTTTAGGGTTTAGGGTTTCGGGTTTCGAGTTTAGGGTTTAGGGGTTCTAGGGTTTAGGGTTATGCTAACAGTCCTTAACAGGGATTATAGTAGGGGGTACTGCAACAGGGGGAACATCCCAAGTTTAGGCGTTAAGACGGCTTCATGAGCTCAGATGCCTACTTCAAGCCCCAGAGAGTAGGCTGCGGTTTAGGGTTTAGGGTTTAGGGTTTAGGGTTTAGGGTTTAGGGTTTAGGGTTTAGGGTTTAGGGTTTAGGGTTTAGGGTGGAACTTCAATGACGAAGGCAGCTGCGTCTTCTATCTTCCCACACATCATGCGTGGCCAAGTATGTAGCCTGTCAAGCCTAACCCTAAACCCGAAACCCTACTTGGAGGTTCATGGTACTTATTCACCAATTATAACTGTGCTTATAACTGTACTTGTAACCATGTTAGGGCACTTAAGGGGCTTATGAGTGGGTCATAAGTACAGTTATAATTGGTGAATAAGTACCATGAACCTCCAAGCAAACGCTAAACCCTAACCCCGCTTTCAATGATTTAGCAGCCGCCCGGTAAACCTCAGTCCTCCCCGGGGGACGTGAGAGTGAGCAGAAGGCGGTTGGTGGCGCCTCGGTCGTCTCAAGCGACGGGGCTTGGAGCTTAAGATTTCGGATGCTTTGATCATGGGTTCCCCTGCTACCCCCCCTCTATACTGGCTTAGGGTTTTATGGTTTAGGGTTTAGGGTTTAGGACTACCCCCCCACCCCCCCTAGATTCCCCCAATAATCAAGGCTAGTTAGGGATAATTAAGCCTAAATAAGGTTAGTTATTTAAGGGGGGAACCTAGGGGTTTGAGGGGCCTACTTGGAGGTTCATGGTACTTGTTGCCCGATTATATCTGTACTTATAAACATATTAGGGCACTTAACGGGCTTCTAAGTGGGATAGAAGTACAGTTATAATTGGTTCATAAGTACCATAAACCTCCAAGTAAGCCCTAAACTCCTAGCGGTTTGGGGACAGTTGGGTTCAGGTTTAAAAGTTTAGTGTTTGTAGGGAGGTTTACATAAGGTCCAATGCAGATCTTTACATTTGCTTTGTTTAAGGGATTTGGGTTAAGGGTTGAGGGTTTAGGGTTTGGGGGCTTAGGGCTTACTCAACTCAACAAGCCCGACACCCTAAATCCTTAGCCCTGAAACCTGATCCCCGACACCCTAGAAGGCTAGAAGGATTTAGGGTTTAGGTGTTAGGGTTTAGGGTTTAGCTCTAAACCCTGCAACCCTGCCAGCCCGAAACCTTACAAACCCTAAACCCTGCAAACCCTACAAACCCTAAACCCTGCAAACCCTAAACCCATACCTTAAAGCAACTTAATGACTTCATGACCCTTCAAGCATAGAAAAAATGCCTTGATCTGTCGACTCTGGGCCCTGCCTTTGAGGGATTATATAGGGTTTAGGGTTTAGGGTTTAGGGTTTAGGGTTTAGGGTTTCCCGACTAAGAACCCCTTTCTCTGAGCCTCTGATACTACAAGGGGATTAGATTCTAGGGTGGTAGCTCTAAAGCCCTTAGAGCCCCTAAACCCTACACCCAAACCCCAAACCCTCTAAACCCTAAACCCTAAACCCCAAACCCCAAACCCTAAACCGTATAAACCCTAAACCCTAAACCCTAAACCCTAAACCCTAAACCCTAAACCCTAAACCGCCCCCGGACTCACATGTCCGAGGTCGGCGCCGGTCGCCTCGCTTGCGAAGCGAAGGAAGCGTGCGGTCCGCAAGGCCATGGTGTTGGCGGACTGCAAGGGGAGCTTGATTCGGGTTTAGGGTTTAGGGTGTAGGGTGTAGGGTTTAGGGTTTAGGGTTTAGGGTTTAGGGCTTAGGGTTTAGGGTTTAGGGTTTAGAGACTTTGGGGAGTTTAGAGTTGGCTGCGCAACCTTGCAACCCCTGATGTTCGGGTTTCAAGGTGTAAGTGAGGTTTGAGTCCGGGGCTTAGGGGTTTAGGGGTTTAGGGGTTTAGGGGTTTAGGGGTTTAGGGGTTTAGGGGTTTAGGGGTTTAGGGGTTTAGGGGTTTAGGGGTTTCGGGGTTTAGGGTTTAGGGTCTGAACTGCTGGCTGCCATTCTATGCCTTAAGTAGCTCTTGACCTTCGACCCATGACCGCAGACCCTAGACTTGAACCCTACAAACGAGCAAAACCTGAGACCTTGACCGAAACCCTAAACCCTAAACCCTAAACCCTAAACCCAGGCGTCTCGGCTTTCAGTTCGCGCGCTGCATGGGGGTGGTTTCAGCTTAAGGCTTCGTACCCCGCAATGGTTTCAACTGGGATCTACAGGTTTCACGGCATTTTTTCAAAGATAGTAGTGTGGCAAGCCATTTTGGCTACCACTCCAGCCTCCGCTCCAGCAATGCACCCCGCGGTGGGACGAGAGCGTGCTGAACAGCTGGCAATGGAGGTCAACTCGCAGTACATCGAGCAGGGACAGGTAGTACGCCGCCCGGCCTATGAAGCGGCGCAACAGCTCTTCTGGGAGAACAGGCGCAAGCGAGGACCGCCAACTCCGGCCCTTTCTTCCACTGGCCTGGCCAGCCAGTCCGGAGAGGTGGAATCACCAACCGGCAGCAGCGGCATCCTCGACTACCACGCCTCCCACCACGGAGCTTTTCCAGCCAGTGGTACTATCGCCGGACAATGCCATCATGGCCACCGCCAGCGTCATGGGAGTCAACGTCAACGACCAAGCGGATATGCAGCAGTGGCTGAACTCACAGATCACCACGCGCCAGCAAGTGCTCCATACGATCCAAAGCTACCACCACGCGGTGATCAGACCAGAGCTCTACAACATGATCAACCAGGTTGAGATGACGCTCCTGCACTTCGACGACAGATTACTCCGCCAGCACAAGGAGATCAGCTGGCTAGCCTCCGACAATAGGCTGGAGCAAAAACGCCAGTCCGGGCTTACCGTTTTGCTCACGGGCTTCCCGCAAACGGCTACCCCGCAAGACCGCAACTACATGGTCAACTGGATGCTGCATGAAGTGGAAGCCCTTCGACACTTCCTTCGCCAGAGAGGTCACGACCCGGAAGACGCTGGCGCAACGTACCCCATGTTCCACATCCTTTCCACAGACCCGGCTACTCCTCCGGCTGGCAAGGACAAGTGGAGCACACTCACCCTGATCCACTTTCGAGCGTGGGAAGCCCGCAAGAACTTCATGGACCACTATGGCGGCTCAGCAGGTGTCCCCTTCTACTCCGATGGTTGGACTGCGGTTCGAGGATCACACATCCGGGCTACTCCTGCCAGCCCTCAGTTTCAGCGGAAGCTGGAAATTCCGCTGAGGGTCATCTTGCGCGCCCTCAACCTGGCCGAGCCCACCAAGAACCAGGTTGTCATCCTGTGGAAAACGTTGACGATCATGGAGCCGCAAGAGCAGAGAGCTTTCGACGACCAAGCGCAGGCCATCGCCAGAGTCCACTACGCAACGGAGGGCGGATACCTACGTGGTACGCTGGAGGTCAACCCATATCTTTGGGACCTCCTCCAGACTACCCCGCCAGACCACCTGATGGCGGATGAGAGTTCCATCTGGGACCACGCCTGGAACGCGGTCGTCTTTGGAGTGCAGCATGAGATGGACGTCGCTGAGCGAGACCTGTACAGACAAGCCGCCCAAGCTGCCAAAGGCACTGGGAAAGGCATGAAGGTTGGTCGACCACCCCGCCACTGGACGGCGCCAGCCATTTTTTCCTCGGAGCTTGCTCTTCCCGCTACCCCTAGCGGTAAATAAGGTGGAAGCCGTTGCCTATGTATGGGACGAGTATTGCGACAAGTTTTCCATGGCGGACCGCAAATGCGGTGACTACAAGGCCGCCACGTACCAAGGTGCCCCGGCGCTCCCCACGCCCACGGCTACCACGCCCGCTGTTTCTCTTTCAAAACTTTTGAGCTCCCCAAGGTTCCCCCTTTGAAACTTTCTAAAGTTGCTCGCGCTGCCACATTTGAACTTTCTAACAGGCGGCGCTGGAGCGACAGGGGCCTTGGGTGGAGCAATGCACGTTTGGAAAGGCCTCGACGCAATCGGCTACCACTCAATCATTTATGGGAGTACAGCGGCACATTTTTTACCAGCTTCTATTCTAGGAACTCGTTGAGCCGACCTTTTTCGAGCTGCCAGTCCCAGAGCAGTTGGCCCAAGGCTACTACTCAGTTGCCCAGGGTATCGCCTTTCTGCATGGCTACTGCTAAAAGTATAGGCTGGGATAGGACACCCATTCGTAGAAATCAACATAGGAGAACCACAAAAAGACCTCCAAGCACCCTCAACATTTCCCCCATCCTCACTGTTTATTCTGTTGCCTTGATTACACTGCACTACTACACCTCACCCAACAGATGCTCGCCGGAAATCATCCTAGCAGAGGCCTTAATAGTATATACAGTCGCAACTAGTACAATACAGACTATAGCTAAACATTCTCCCAGTGTAAATAGCCAGTATGCCAATTGGAATAAATATATGCACGCCCTGAATGGGAATATACCCCAGACTACTCCGCCACGCCGGCTCTGTTTGGCCGACCTGCTTCCGGATGCAATACAAAGGGCCATTCCCCAACCAGAACCCACCTTAAATACTAACAGCATTGCCTCTTTGCCGCCCAGCCAGTTTCCTGAATTTAAGCTTAGCAGAAATTTTCTCCTTAGTTGTCGTCCTGCCACAAAAGTAGACTTTTCAGTTCCTGAAGTAGAGAACTTGCCAATTCTTAAAAGCACCCCAAAATACAGATCAGGTCGTAGACTAGGAAGGTTCTCCCGTGCAACATGGGCTAAAACCTTTTACCATAGCAGACCACCCCGCCGTTTTAAAGGCATTCGCCAATTCCGCAGATCCCAAACACTTTTTTCAAACTCGAATTTAGCGCCAAATGCAAAGCCCACACCGCCTCCAAGAGGCACGCCGGGTTCCGCTTCGGCGGAAAGCAAAGAGTGTACAGCCCACACTGTCCCCACTCGTTTCCTTTCTTCAGGCAGGGGCGCCAGAGTTCGCCGCGAGCGAAGACGCCAATTTAGGCGGTGGAGGCAACTCGTGAAAGGAACTATACAACCAAAAGCGCCGGACAACGCCTTGGTTAGGGGACAGCTGTCCTTGAAAGCAGTAAAAGGGTATCGCCGACAAGGCGTACGCACGGCTAAGATTTTTAAAAATCTAGTCCTTAGGCCACAGGGGGAAAAGCACGCCAAAAAGGTACACAAACCTCTTTTGGCTACTCCGCCTCTTCCTTATGGCCATAAGTTTCGCTTCGGCACACAAAATGCTCAAGGTATGGCAGAAACATTGAAGCACCAAGCGTCTTTAGACCTCCTAAAAAGAAGATCATTGGACGTCTTATTCTTGACAGAGACCCATTCCACTTCGTACTACAATTACCGCTCCCAACACCACATGGTTATAGTAAATGGAAGCAAAAAAGACAAGTATGGAGGAGTTACAGCCATTGTCCACCCCGCCATATTACCATTCCTAAAGGATGTCGTGCAACATTCAAGTCGCATTATTCAGCTTACCTTTTCAGTTAGCTCAGGAGACATGCATCTGTTTGGAATATATGCCCCACATAACAAACTAGACTTTGAAAAAGTAAAGTTCCCGTTCTGGGAAACCCTAGCAAGCATCACCTCCAGAATTCCTCTGCCCGAACCAATCTACATCTTAGGAGATTTCAATGTCCGGCTACAGGGTCGCAAAGCAGGGGAACGACACATTCTCGGGCCCCATGTGTATGGAAAAGGGCCTCTCAGCATTGATAACAACGACACAGGGAACCGATTCCTATACACACAACTCCTCGACCACCACGCCTTGGTAGACACGCTAACTTTCAAGCAACCAAACCTCCTCAAACATGTCACCTATAGGGACAAAAATCCCCCCCCGAAAACATGGTCCTCATTTGCCCTTGACCCAATAGGTTGGACGCAATTATGGGACAAGGTGGAAGCCATGCCATGCCCGGAGGACGATAGGCTGAAGGTGGCAGGGCTTATTCGAACCTACATTACAGATGACTGGCCCACTACACCTCCCATCCCACCTACCATAGACCCCTACAGGTTTCAGTCGTTAGACAAGGTGATTACCAGAGCACAATGGCTACCCTCGGTTCACCAAGTACATTCAGTCCTCTCTGAAGGCTTCCCTAGTGACCACTATTTACTGGAAGCAGTCATAAAGGTCAAACTAAAAAGCAGAAATGCGAGGACTCCCCCTCCCCCCAAACACGACTACTCCGCCGTTAGTTTAGAACAGCGTAATGAGTTCAACAAGGTGCTCAAAAAAGCCTACTTCAACCAGGAAGACACACCTTCCGATGCACAGATGACAAGGGACCCCTGGGATGTTTACACCGATGGCTCCGGATCTTCAGGTCGCTGCTCGGCTACTACGCCCGCAGGTTGGGGTTACGTAGTGATTACCCCGCAAACTCAACAAACGGCATATGGACCCGTCCAGACAGAAGCAACCTCACCTATGTATTTAGGGGCTACGGTAGGAAGCAACAATACGGCCGAACTGTCAGCATGGATGGAGGCGGCATTGTTTGCCTTGTCACTAAACCATAAACCCGCGGAGATAACATTCCATTATGACAGCAAATGGATGGCACAAATGGTACAAGGCACATCAAGACCACACCGCCACAAAAGCATGATAAAAATAGCGCGGCAGATCTATTGGGCACTACAACAAACAACGCAGATCAAATGGAGGTGGGTCAAGGGCCACTCAGGAGACACACACGACGAAGCCGCAGATAAAGCTGCGGACAGTGGCAAAACCTTGGGAACTTGGGAAGGAGGCAGAGCCTCCTTACCCCGGATGGCTACCCCGCAAAACATACAAACACCGGACGTAGTAGGCTCACAGGACCCCTAAACCAAATACCGCAGATTTGTCGATGCACTACACAAAGCACAAGAGTGCAACATTCCCACATTGCTGGCTACCCCTAAACAGCCTTGGATTACCCCGGAATTAGCTAAACAAATTGAAACAGTTAGACAACAAAGGATCCGATGCGATCCCGACTACCCCGCCAATTTCAAGGCAGTTAAAAAGGAGGCTAGAAAGCTCAAAAGAGATTGGACTAGGTCGCAATTAACGAAGGACTCGGATACCGCGCACGCACACGTTTGGAGAGTCACAAGACAACTTAAAAAGGGATTCCAGGGCAAGCGCACGCGGTTGAAAAAGCACGGAAAACCGGTACCCTGGACGCACACACACACCGTTTTCAGAGATCAGCTAAACAACGTCCAATGGGGAACGGTTTCGGTCACGGATGAAGAAATCAAGCTTCTCGAAGACTCCCCTCAATTACATCCCCAGGAGACCACCGCCCCGCCCCAATTTACCCATGAAGAACTGACCACAGTCCTTAAACAGCTTCGAAATAATAAGGCAGCAGGACTCGATGGCACCAAGGCGGAGCTACTCCTCCTGCTAGATCACGTGGGGGAACTAATCTTGTTAGATATTTTAAATGAATGTTACAGATCCAAAACTGTACCCCATGAATGGAAGCAGGCCCTAGTGGTCAGTATATATAAAGGGAAGGGCTCGGAATCGGATCCGGCCAATTACCGACCCATATCTCTCCTCAACGTAATGTACAAAGTTTACGCCGCCCTTCTTCAAAAAAGACTGGCCGCAGCACATGACCACAAACTACGTGTCACACAATTTGGTTTTAGGCAGCACAAAAGCACACAGGAACCAATCTTCATACTGCGTAGGCTGCAAGATTACTCCGCCAAAACAGGACAGCATTTCCATATGCTCTTCCTGGACTGGAAACAGGCATTCGACAAAATTGATCACAGATCGATGCTGATCGCTCTGAAAAGAATAGGAGTACACGAGCACTACCTCGCCATAATCAAGGATTTATATACGGATCCGGAATTTTGCACACAAGGCTACAACGCCCAACGCGAATGGGGCAAAGTTAAAACGGGGATACGGCAAGGCTGCCCCATGAGCCCCTATCTTTTTATAATTGTTATGACAGTTTTGTTCGACGATGTCGACAAAAGATTACGCACGCACGGAGTCCCACAAAATACATGGTCTGTGGGTAAGCCGGTTTATGACCTAGAATATGCAGATGATACAGTCTTAATGGCGGTTACTACGCATCAATTGCAAGAAATGCTGCACGCGGTACAGGTAGAGGCATCCCTGTACGGATTAGAGTTGAACAAGGAAAAAACAGAGCTCCTAGTTCCTGACTACTCCGCCACCACAATATGTTTCGCTGACGGAACAGCCGTTCCCACGACAACATCAGCTAAGTATCTAGGGACACAGATCTCTTGGACTACTCCGCCAAAAATTGCCATCAATTTCCGAAAAAGCAAAGCAGAAGCCGCATTCTCGAAGCTTTATCATGTCTGGAACTGTAAGCTCCCCAAAGGATCTAAATCCCGCATCTTTCACTCCGCCATTCTTCCAATCTACACGTACTCCCTAGCCACATGCTCTTTAGACAAGCAACACTTCCGTACCATACATGGCTGGTACTTTAGGCACCTTCGACGAGCGCTAGGCATTAAGCATTCGTATTATTCCAGAATCCCTAATGTAAAAGTATGGAAAACAGCTGGCCGACCATTCATTCCTTCACAAACCATATACAAACAGCAGTTTCAGCTGTTGCTCAAATCACTGACTACCCCGCCTAACCAGCCAGTACATCACGTAGTTTTTTCCCCCGGATTCAAGGATAGGATAAAATTCACGAAATCAAAATCAAGAGGTCACCCCGCAAGGTACTGGTATGAACTAGTCTCAAAGGAAGCAGTCAGATTTTACCAATACCATTTAGACCACCACGCCATGCCTGAAAGGCGGCGTGATTTTTTAGGACTTATACAGTTTTTAAGATCCGATAGCCAATTCGGCGATACCCTGACTACTGCGCCTACGCGCAAGCCGGAGATTTTCCCTATGTTTAGTACATCAGTTGGAAGCGCCTGGCAAGCCTAAAAAAAACCCTAAACCCTAAACCCCAGTGGGGCTCTGAGGTCCAGGTTTTCGTGCTTGGGCAGGCTCAATCGGGGTGCTCTTGTGGGGTGCTTCGGGGTGTCTTTGGAGCGCCTCGGCGGCTCGAGCACACGGGAAAACCTAAGCCCCAAGCCCTAGAACCCATCATCGTCTGAAATGTGGGTTTTGGCTTTAGGGTTTAGGGTTTAGGGTTTAGGTTTTAGGTTTTAGGGTTTAGGGTTTAGGGTATCATCGTCTGAGATGTAAGGCCTGTGAGAGGGGAAAGCCGGCTTTACTACCTAGTGCACCAACCTCACCTGAAGCTCTGGTAGAGGAAGCATGGACTGCTCCAAGTCTTGCGACATACACGCCTGATGCCTAGCGGTTCGGATTCAGGGGCCCTCCGTTTCGCGTCGAAGACGCAGGGCTCCTAAGCCCTCAGCCCCAAACCCTTGATACCTGAACCCTAAACCCTAAGGCCTAAACCCTAAACCCTAAACCCTGAACCCTAAGCCCTAAGCCGCAGGCCTCTGAGTCGGAGCTCCAGCGCCTAAAAAAAAGTCGTCGACCCTAAGTTGGGAGGGCAGCTGATCCGCACTTGAGAGGCAAAAGAGGCGGTGGGGTGGCTTAGGGTTTAGGGTTTAGGGTTTAGGGTTTAGGGCTTAGGGCTTAGGGCTTAGGGTTTAGGGTTTAGGGTTTAGGGTTTAGGGTTTAGGGTTTAGGGTTTAGGGTTTAGGGTTTAGGGTTTAGGGTTTAGGGTTTAGGGTTTAGGGTTTAGGGTTTAGGGTTTAGGGTTTAGGGGCGGCGTGGCGGCGGTGGTGTTGAGGGTTTACAGCGCGGGGCGATTCAGGGGTGAACCTGAACCTCAACCCGCACCCTCAACAGGGTTTGGGGCTTCGGGGTTTAGGGTTTTAAGAGTTTAGGGGTTTAGGGCTATTAGGGCTTAAGGGTCCTAAACCGGGCTGATAATCTTACAGGGCCTTAGCAACCTTAAGCCTCTGAGACAGCTTCTACCCTTTGGAATTCTTACTTGACGTCGCCGGCCTGACTCATAGTGCTAGACAAGGGTATGGGCGGGTTAGGGTAAAGGATCCGGGGTCTAGGGTTTGGGGTCTAAAGAAGGGTTGAGGGTTTCTTTTGTATCGCGGAGGTCCCGTCTTTGGCATTTCTGTCCAGTCATTCAGGTTTTCAAGGTTCCAAAAGGCGTTTCAATATGCCGACGTTGTACATATACCCATATACCCCTGAAGGGTCGCGGAAGCTTCTTCCAGACTTGAAAGGCTCCTGTTATGTAGTACCTTTTTGGGGTTGTATACTAGAATCCCCTTTTACTAGCCTCAAAAAGGAACTACATTGGAGCCTTTGAGCAAAGGCAGGAGTTCTCGATCCCAGCAGGATCGTCAGTCACGCGCACCGCAGGCGGGCTTTTTGTAAGGCTTGCTCGCCGGGCATGCTCCTGTGAGAAAGGAGGTCCCTACGAGATGCAAAGGAAAAAACCCTTCTTCACTTTCAAACCCAAGTTTCGAGTCCTAAAAACATCTGAAATGAGAAACTTCTTGAAGCTAGCGACGAAGCTGCCAATGGGCTCCCATGACCTTAAACCCTAAAACCCCCAAGCCCGATAGAAACCCTGAGCTCCCTAAACCCTAAACCCTAACCCCCAAACCCTACACCCTACACCCTAAACCTAAACCCTAAACCCTAAACCTGATAAACCCTAAACCCCAAACCCTAAACCCTAAACCTCCCTTGGCCCGTGGACTTCCTGGAGCCCGGCGCCCCAAGCCACGGTGAAGGCAAGGCGCCGAAGCGGAAGGATCCAGGGGAGGTGCCGATGGTTTGCAGTTTAGGGTTTAGGGTGCTTCAGGGCCTTGAGGGCCTTTAGGGCCAATTCAGGATTTAAGGTTTAGGGTTTAGGTGTATTCCGGCGCCTGACGAGCCCAAACAAGTTGCTAACCTAAACAGTAAACCCCAAACCCCCTATTGCACCCCCCCTGGATCCTCATGAGCGGAGTCACAGACCCTGGCGCGTTGCTCCTCGCACCTCAGGCTTCGTGGATTTGGGCTTCGGGCTTACTTAGAGGCTCATGAGACCTAGTAGCCTTTCTGACATAGTGGAGTCTACTACTTAGTATCCCCCTGAATGCGATTCCAGAACCCACCTTACTAACCTGACCTACCAAGTCAAACCGGTGTCCAAGTAGGGATTACAAGCTTAAGGCTTAGGGTGATGAGTGCTTGGGGCGTAGAGTCTTACAGTCTTGAGTGGGAAGTGTGGGGTGGGCCACAAGATGGTTTCGGGAGGGGCCCCCTTACTATGGTAACTTGACTTAAGGGGCTTATAACCTAAGTTAGAATCCTTGTAACCCAATTTAGGGTTCTTACAACCCTACTTATAACTAGGGGGCCCCTCCTTGTAGGGTGGGTTTGGGGTTTGGGGTTTGGGGTTTAGGGTTTAGGGTTTATAAGGGTTTAGGGTTTAGGGTTTAGGGTTTAGGGTTCAGGGGCTTCGAGAGCTTGTCGAAGTATGAAAGAAGGGGCCGTCTGAAGTCCGTGTTGGCTTTTGGGGGGTCTGGGCCTCGACCTGCCCCATAACTAAACACTCTGGGTTTAGGGCTTAGGGCTTAGGGCTTAGGGTTTAGGGTTTAGGGTTTAGGGTTTAGGGTTTAGGGTTTAGGGCCGATACTCAATACAGTGCCCTAAAAAAAACCTAAACACGCTTGGGTAGGTTCCTGGCGAAGGGTCGTTTTGGCGAGCAACATGCTGTCACAAGCTTTATGGTGAGCAAACAATGATAAATATTCATGGTACACAAACCTGATAAATGCAATGCAGGTCGTAGGCTTTTCCTACTCTTATTGCCGCGCGATACAAAACAGCAAAGAAAAAGAAGAGAGCTCGGAGGATGACGTTGAATTAACTGCAAACTTGCCCCCCCCCACAAAGCGACCTTAGTTTAAAGTGGCTTTTAGGGTTTAGGGTTTAGAGTTTCGGGTTCAGGGTTCCTGTTTTTGCACCGGCTCCCCGGGGAATTTAGGAAAGGATATAAGCGGTTGGGCGCTATGAAAACGGCACATGCACCCGACACCTGCTATCTACCCTAAACCCTAAACCCTAAACCCTAAACCCTAAACCCTAAACCCTAAACCCTAAACCCTAAACCCTGTTATATGCTCATGGCCCAAAAGACCAAGGGCTTGCCCTCAGGTCTTTTGCTCACATGTTTCTTGTTGTTCTCTTCTGTTCCTTTCTTCTGTTCTGCTATCTTTCTCCTGCTACAGCAGCTATCGGTACAAGCCTGGGTTTAGGGGGTTAAGGGTTTAGGGGGTTTAAGGGTTTAGGGTTTAGGCTCCTTTGCTTCTTGCTTTCTTTCTGTAGTTCTTTCTTTCTTTTATTGTGCTTACGTCATTTTAGTGAGCTCGCGAGGTTCGGGGCACTCACCTCCGCTCTCTTCGAAATCACAATACCATGCGAGCGAGAGAAGCGACAGAACACGCCAGCAAACAAAGTTCACTGGTCCGATAAGGAGTTGGCACACCCGGCGGGTGGGGGCGGGGGGGGGGGCTCCCCAGATGACCCACTGAGAAAATCGGTATTCTGAATGACTTCGTCACGGAGTTTCTTGCCTCATGCTCTTGTGGGTGAAGGCTAGAGTGCTGACGGGTGACGGGTTCAGGTTGGAGCTATGGCTCTTAGTCATAGTCGGGAAAACCGTGTGTTCGGGCGCTTCTCAATGTCCACGGTGAAATCGTCTCATCCTCAACCTTAAGCCCTAAACCCTAAACCCTGTTTAGTGGCTTAGGGCTTAGGGCTTAGGGTTTAGGATTTGGGGTTTAGGGTTTAGGGTTTAGGATTTGGGGTTTAGTGTTTAGGGTTGAGGGTTTGGGGTAAACCCTGAGCAAAGAACCATTCACTGGAGAAGGCACACGAAACCCCAAAACCCTAAAACCTTCTTGGAGGTTCACGGTACTTATTGGCCGATTATAACTGTACTTATAACCCACTTATAACCCCCCCTAACTGCCCTAAGATGGTTATAAGTACAGTCATAAGTACAGTTCTAATTGGTGAATAAGTACCATGAACCTCCAAGTTGCTGGCCTTGCTTCCCCCCGAAAAGGCCGCAGAATCTTCCTAGTCCTCCGGCTCAGATTCTACCCTAAACCCTAAACCCTGAACCCTAAACCCTGAACCCTAAACTGGCCCTAAACCCTACACCGCCCCACAGAGGTCCAGCATGATGTGGGGGGCACAAGCCTTACTAGACTTCCTACACCTGAAAATTCCTGAAAATTCTATCCACACCTCTCTTGGCGTCTTGCTCTTTCGAGCATCTCGTTCCGGACGGTGAGGTCTACTCCGCCCTTCAGTGGCCAAAGTGACTCTGATTCGCTTGGGGTCAAGGTGGTGCAGGGTTCGGCGAGTTGCTGGGCTTAGGGTTGGTTTAGGGTTTATAGGGTTTATAGGGTTTATAGGGTTTATAGGGTTTATAGGGTTTATAGGGTTTATAGGGTTTATAGGGTTTATAGGGTTTATAGGGTTTATAGGGTTTATAGGGTTTATAGGGTTTATAGGGTTTATAGGGTTTATAGGGTTTATAGGGTTTATAGGGTTTATAGGGTTTATAGGGTTTATAGGGTTTATAGGGTTTATAGGGTTTATAGGGCTTATAGGGTTTATAGGGTTTAGGGTTTAGGGTAGAATCTGAGCCGGGAGTTGTTGGATCTGTGAGGTGTCCGGCTGCTTGGTGCAACTAGGTGTCGATTTGAACAGTCCCCAAAACTATTTGCAATTGGGGTTTAGGGTTTAGGGTTTAGGGTTTAGGGTTTAGGGTTTTAGGGTTTTAGGGTTTAGGGTATTTAGACAATAAGAGAGACAATTAGTCCCAAATCGATACCCAGACAAGAACACGAACCCTACGGCACCTGCGTCCGCCGATACTTCAGTTTCTCCTGCCAGCTAGGGTTTAGGGTTTAGGGTTTAGGGTTTAGGGTTTAGGGTTTAGGGTTTAGGGTTTAGGGTTTAGGGTTTAGGGTTTAGGGTTTAGGGTTTAGGGTTTAGGGCAATTGGAAGATTGCCGTTGGCAAACGGCTGCCGCCTCTAGTTCATGGAACACACCGCGTGGTGGCTGGCATGCTAAGGCTTAGGGTTTAGGGTTTCTGGGGTATAGGGTATAGGGTTTAGGGTTTTAAGATCGCTGGCTCTGGAAGTAGCAGCTCTCCTTCTCACCCTCATCGAAATCCATGGTGCCGCAGTCTGCAATCACCTGGGTCTGCCAACATTGCATAAAACGACCCAAGGCCCGCTTGAAGTGTCCGGAAACAAATCACATCTTGCAACAGAACAGCGCTCTGACCCAGAACTGATTCTCTTGCTGACCCTAACGCAAGATTTAGGCCGGAGGTTCCTTTGAAAAAGGGGACAATGTGGAGTGCCTGCCTACTACTCCTCTCTCTCTCTCTCTATCTCTGTCTCTTTCTCTCTTTCTCTCTTGAAAGAGCCCGGTAGAAATCCAAACCCTTGAAACCCTAAACTCCAACCCCCTAAACCCTAAACCCTAGGGTTCCTTTTCCAGGCGCCAGGGATCATTCGGAACCCAAGGTTCCTCACAAAAGGCGACGACGCGGACCCCAGCAGAGCCGGCCAGCGAGAACTGGCCACGTCCAAGATCGTCTGCCATGACCTACAGAGATTCCCCGAGGACCTGAGGATGAGAACCTCGACTCACCGCGGGACTGCGCCATGACTCGGGCTCGTTGCTGATGTTCGCTCGGCGATGATGACTACTATACTACCTGGCTACGCAATGCTCCGCTAACCACCGCAGCACGCGGCCGACCATCTCCTCATCCTCAAACTCGGGACCGCCATGAACAGCGCCCGGAAGCTCGACGAACTCGTGCTTGACGCCCTTCTCCTATACTCCCCTTAGAACCTTAACAATAATAATAATAGTAATAGAAAAAATAGGATATAGTCTCCTTGAGCTTCTCCACGAGCACGACACTCTGGCCAAAGGGCACCAGCGGATCGGCGGTGCCATGAGCCACCAGCATTGGGGGAATGCCTTCGTGCACGTAGGTCGTAGGGTCTGCCCTCAGTACCTTAGTAGCCCAGCAACCATAATATATTGCAATAAGGGCGCCCTTTTTTGGGGTTGGTTTTTTTAGAAGGGAACCTTGAACCAAAAAAAAAAAAGGTTAAGGGTACCACTGGGCTACCTTCAAGGTACCTCCTCTGGCCTGGTCTGAATCGGGAAGCCCATCATCTTGGACTCCGGCGAGTCCGCATCATCATGTATCATCGCGTCCTCGTGAGGGCGCTGGCTGTCCATGAGGAGGAAGTTGGTGGGGCTAAAGAACTCCACGGCGCAGGCCACGTGCACCGGCACAGAGGTGAAGTCACCGAGCGAACCGTTCAGGAAATCCAGGTCACTAGATGCCGATGAGGTGATGGATAGCATGGCGGCCATCCAGCCCCCAGATGAGCGGCCCATGGTAGCGATCCTATCAGGATCAATGCCAAGTGATACCTTACTTTCCTAATAACCATGGGAAAGAAAGGTCATAAAAATTAATGTTGCACCCGCTTTAGTGGATGGGACCGCTACTATGCCATGTTCCGAAAATCTTATACAGAACCCCCCATTGTTTAGGGTGTTCACAATTATGCGATGTTGTCCCGGCTGGGGTTGAAGGGCGGGGGGCCGGGGAGCCAAAAACTAAAAAAAAGTTTTGAATAAGAAACTCCGGATATTTTTGGTGTCCAGCCTTATTTAAAATCCTTGTAAAATTTCATTACGAAACAGGCCCCCAAACAATTTTCCAAGGGAGTAGCCCACGAGCTGCCCTGATTCGCTTTAGCAAGTTGTTTCGGTGGTCCGCATTAATGCGGAGCCCCGGCGACCGTGGAGCTACAAAGCCTGGAAAGCTTAGACCCTGAAGCTTCAAGGCTTCCCCTCAACCCTCGACCCCTAGCTGCCCTACCCCCAGCCCCCGTCCCAGCCCCATCCCACATTATTAAGGATCCCCGAAAACCCCAAAATTGTTTGGGGGGGGGGGACCCCCCCCACACTAAAGCGAGTCCAACAGTAATATTCCTACTGGTACTAAATGAGGAAACCCAAAAAGTTTGTAAAGTTCAGCTGTTGGAGAGGTAAGATACAGCGTTGCCGCGGAGGCATCGCAGGGCTGCCTTGCCGTCGTGCAAGACACCCAGCCATCCCACTTTCTCTCCGGGCCGATGCTGCAACACCGCCATGGCGTAGCCATGTTTTGCTACCAGAGAATCTAGCCAGCACTGATCGGGAGGATTCTTGATGAACTCGCTTGCCGCGAAGCCAGAGCCATGACACCACAGCACGCAAGGCATCGGGGTAGCACTCTTTGCAGCTGGCAGGTACACCCACATCTTTATCTCCTCTCCATCCGCTGTCCTGTGCGTTACGAAGGTTTCCGTGCGGGTGCCTTCGGGCAAGGTTGCCTTCGGATTACCTGCACAACATGCCGTCCATTGCAATAACGCTTGTCGTCCCTTTCCCTTGGCATCCGCTGTTTCTGCCATGGCGGGGCAGTCTTTCGCTGCGCTGTACAAGGGCCTATGCTCCCCTCAGAACCTTAAAAACAATATTTTTACTATCCTCTTGGGTTTTATATAAACAAAAATGAAAAATAATTCCCGAGGGGGAGATAGGGGCTTTGGAGCTTAGACACAGCGGAACAAGAGCAGCAGTACAGCAGTTGAAACAACAGTTTCGGCGAGGTGCTTGCCCCAAAGGGTGCTAAGTACCCACATGGGGGACACTTACCCAAACCATAATCACATTTCCATTCAAGAAACCCTACTTTCTACTATGCAGGTACTTAGGACCCTTTGGGTACTATCACAAACCGAAACGTAGGGCGCGCGCTGCGTTCTCTTCCGGCTCGCCGCTTTTTGTGCCTTGCAAGGAACTGCACCACGGGAC